AGCTTCACTCCTCAAATGAGGAACACCAGGTTATTACCAATAGTTTTAAAGAAGGGCAATGTTGTTTTTTTCCAAACTTTATATTTTTAAATAGACCTCATCAAATGCATTTTTTTGTCCATTGCAGGAAACCCATATTATACTAACAAATCCTTCAAAACCTCTTTTTCTCTGTGTTTGCAAGATAAACGCTATTTAATCATTTCGTTTCTGAAAATCTATATAAAAATATAGATGTATTTGAATTTTCCTTTTTGCTACCTCCAAAAGAAAAGGTGCATTTATTGTTATTTAGCTTCAAAATGGCCTCAGGGGCAGGAAACGGAATTCAAAAGTATTAGCACCAGTAACCCGAAGGCTGAGCAAAACATGAAGAACTTTATTTCAGACAATCCAGTAAAAATAATTAAGCACAAACATCATGTTTGATTAATGATTATATATATATTATTACCATGTATGTATTATTTAGAGCTTATTTCTGAAAAGGGTGAATGAAAAACTGCAAGCTTAAAAATAAACTACCTATGAGAGACGTTCTGGGGTTTTTGTTCTTTGTTGAAATACAAACCTGGAAAACCCTGAAAAGACGTGTTGCATCATGAAACCAATAAAGTGTAATCTGGAGGCCTGATGGTCACACTTGTTTTACTGACATCAGTGTGAAAGCCTTCCCTTTGATCAGGAGAATCCCCTTCCTTAGAGAACGGATGCATCTGCCTGCTGTGTGGCAGAAGCTCATGGATCAGTAGAGGTTGGCTCTGCCTTCTGAAAAATATAAGAGTTTCTGTTTTTGAACAGTGGACTGGTTCCTCACCTCAATGTATCGCAGATCATCACTTTTAAAAAAAGGGGCACACTTGTCTAAAAACCAGCATTTCTCAGCTACATCTTTTAAAATCTTTGTCAAAATTTAAACCATTTTTTGTGAAATTAAATGTTTTCATTTCCACGAATAAAACAGACTGAATCTTTATGTGCAAAGTCATCTTTAATGACTGAACGCCATCTTTTAAAATCATCATCAAACTTTGACAGATAAACACAAAAAAATACATAAAGGTGCTTATTTTCTATGTTTAACACTGACCAACCAAAAACAGTACATAATAGTGAAAATCATGCTTGGTTTTCACAGCCAAAAAGCACTAAAGTTGATTTTTTTTTTTTTTTTTATCAGAATAGATGTAAAACTTTACTATCACTGATCTGGCTTAATGTTTTTCAACTATATCATTAGTCGGAAAGCAGAGGTGGGTAAAGCAGCCAAAAAAATGTATTCAAGTTAAGGTAAAGCTACTTCTGCATATTTTTATTCAAGTAAAAGTCAGAGGTAGAAAAGAAAAAAAATAGCCTAAATAAGAGTGTAAAAATCTGCAGTAGGAATGCTACTGAGTAACTCATAACATCCAAATTATATTTAAAAACAACATAATCACAATAAAATATAAAGTTATGCTTAGAAAAATACTTAAAGATACAAAAAATAATATAACTAAAAAATAAATTCAAGCAGAAGAAACCTTTCACTAAAAAGATATTTTTTCCTCCATAAAGTTTATGAAACTGATGTCCTTACAGTAGTTCCTGAAGAACTTTCAGTTTGCTTGTTTCTGGCTCCATCTAGTGGACAAAAGCTGTATTGTTTTACCTGAAGGTAGTATTTCCCATGAGGAGCAGCTCATTAAACTACATTTCTGTTTCCAGCTGCTGAGTGAAAGATAAGTAGGGATGAGATAATCAATCTGTGGCAAAATAATGTCAAATTATGTTGAAATTAAGAAATGTTTACCTTTTTAGAGCCTTGAAACAGAGAAATATGTTATTTTTTTGGATAATTTTACAGTAAACACACATATAGATCCCTGCAGGAAGTTGCAGCATTGCCTTAACATCAACCCTGCAATATTTGCACAAATTTAGTCTCTCAGGGAAATTTAGACACATCGACTTTCCTCTTTATAATAAATGTAGAAAGGGGGAAGTGACGTAAAGCAGTCTGCACATTTTTAGTTTTGTTTATCAGGGTGACTGCCACCCTCATTTAAAGCTGCTTAGTGAAGGTGAAAGCTCTATAGACCCCCATGACAGAGGGGTCATTTAACTAGTTTTACTAGTTAAGTTGCATATAATCTCAAAAGTTATGAAAATATATTGTAAAGGTTGAAAAGTTAGTGCTGGTTTAACACGTCTATGAAATGTAACCACATATTATTCTTCATCTAGGGGGTCAAATAAGTTAATGGATTCCTACTGCCAAAGGTACATAATTAGAAGTGAAACCCAGACTTCAATGCTAAAATGTAGTTCTTCCTAAAGTTGTTCTATTAGGTTAAAGTCATGATTCTGTGCAGATCAGTCAGATTTCTCTTCACTAAACTTTATCCACCTGCAGGCATAGAAGTTAATGGAGAATTTGAATTGATTGATTTAGTGGCAGGAACTGATCCTCTGATGACAAAATGATACGTTTACTGTGTTTAGTTGATCTAGAAATGACCCAAATTAGCTCAGCAGAAAATAACTATAAAACAACTAAGGTTGTGTGCAAAAATGAAATCTTACTATCAAAATGTATGTTATTGTTTCTCTCTGTAATTTTGCTCACCTCCTAAAAAGTGGCCAGAATTTAGTATAACAGTATAATATTAACAGTATAATTCAAGTAAAAGCAAAAAGTACAGTGGAGTAAAAACATTCCTGAAAAGGTTTTTGTGTTAAAGTTTCCTACAGTAAATTTAACTACTTCCAACCCACCTCT